TTTTTTTTTGGAGAGTTTTTTGCTATAGGGCATGTGCGCTTGCCAGAAAGAGAGAGACATAGAGACAGAAAGCAGAAAATCACCCCCCAGGGGCGATGGCCACGCCGCAGTCCCTTCTCCTCCATTCTCCCCTTGGGATCTTGGGCACGCACGCACACGCGCCCAGCGTGAGTTTAAGCCACCAGATCTGGGACTCGAACCACGGTTGATTACATGGGAGTCCAGCGACATAGCCATTATGCTAACTGCGCGGTTCCCAAACTCCGTTTTCTTATTTTTAGATGCGTGGTAGACGGATTTCTGTGCTTGGTGAAGGACAATGAAGCTAAGCCAGATGTGAGTGATCTGTCACCCCGATTAGAGTGTGGGAGACAGGGTGTCCTTCCTTTGTCCTGTAACTACCAGTGCTCTTATCTGTCTCCATGTTTGACGCATTGGGTGTCCCTCCCCTGGATGTTTGTCTGCTCTCAGGACTGCCTCTCCCGACTTGCTGCACAACTGGACTTGGTCAGCAGCTGCATGTGGACAGCTCTGGAGGACATGGCCCCCACCCACTCCACGTGTGGACAGCTTGGGAGGACGTGGTCACCGCCCACTCCACGTGTGGACAGCTTGGGAAGACGTGGCCCCATCTGCTCCACATGTGGACAGCTTGGGAAGACGTGGCCCTGCCCGCTCCACATGTGGACGGCTGGGGAGGACATGGCCCCCACCTGCTCCACGTGCGGACAGCTCAGGAGGACGTAGCCCCCGCCTGCTCCACGTGTCGTGGCCGACAGCACATTGCTGCCGAGACCTGCTCTCCCTCCAGGTCCCCTCCGGCCATTCTCTCCAGGTATCACCTCCATCCTCCTCACTGTCACATCCCTCCGAAGCACCAGATCTGGGACACAACCTCCACAATCGCTCGGCCCGACCCCGTCTGCAGTGGCTCTCCAAGCCCTCGCTGCCCCACTCGTGTGTGTGACTCTGCTCGGGCCAGTGGTCAGAAGGCCCTTTCACTGAGTGCGCTGTGCCCTGCTTAGCCTGTCTTCCCTGATCAGTCCTCTGGCCACCTCACCGCCATCCAGCCAGCCACCCAGCCAACGAGTGGGGTGCCAGTGTGGGTCTCTCCACGTCACACACCCCACCTCGTCCTTTTGCAGCTCCTGTGGTCTTCGCCTCAGAGCACGGTCCAGTCCTAACACAATCCCCTCGCTCCTGCCCTCAGAGTCCAGCCACCAGCACCCCCCCACGCCCCGCCCCGTCCCATTCTGCTCTCCACCATCAGCGCGAGCGTGTGCACCGTGTCAGATGGGCTAGCCCCCGGTGGCTTTCCCCTCCCTTAGAGCAGAACCCCCCGGCCGAATAGCTCCCACAGGGCCAACTGTGTGTTATGCACCCACGCCAGTTCGGGTCTGCTGTCAGAACTTTCATTTACCTTGAAACATTTTAGAGCTATGGAAATAACTGAAAATGGGAAAGGGGAAAATAGTTACCTAACTTTTTTTTTTTTTTTGGAGAGATTTTCACTGTAGGGTGCGTGCGCTCGCCAGACAGACAGAGAGAGACATAGAGACAGAAAGCGAGAAATCACCCCCCAGGGGGGATGGTCACGCCGCAATCCCTTCTCCTCCACTCTCCTCTCGGGATCTTGGGCACGCACACACATGCGCCCGGCGTGAGTTTTAAGCCACCAGGTCCGGGACACGAACCGCGGTCGACTACGTGGGAGTCCAGCGACATAGCCATTACGCTAACTGCTGGTTCCCGTTGCCTAACTTTTATTAGACATTCATGTTTATCCATTCATTTGAATCAAAATACATATTTGAATGTCCACACAGACATCAACACTACTCTTTATCATGCCAGTTGGACATGTGCTCACCAGAGACAGGCAGAGAGAGAGGGAGAGAGAGCTACGGGGCTTGCCACAGCCCCTCTCCTCCATCTCTCCCTCCTTCAGGGCCTTCGGACACACTCACTTATGCGCACAGCATGTTTCTCAAGCCGCCAGGCTCGGAACTTGAACCTGTGGTCAGCCATGGGGGACGCAGCCGCCTTAACCACTGGCCCACAGGGCTGGCTGTACATCAGACTTTGAATCTAGTCAGTGAGGGCCTTTACCGGCCAGTGCCCGAGAACCAGAGCCTTCGCCCATGACGCCCTCCTTTCCCCTGGGGACGTGAGTTAGCGTGGTTCCGACAGTTCACTCAGCTGTCAGCTCACTTCCGTTGGTGGTTACAGATGTGCCTGGCCAAGTCTCTAGTCACTCACCTCTGTCTCTGGAGTCTCACCCTGGAGCGGGCCCCCTCGGCTGTGTTCTGTACACTGGGAGTGAAATCACTGTTAGTTTTCTGACAAGGGGAAACACTGACAAGCAGAAAATGAAAACCTACGAGTTCTCTCCCACTGAAGCTATTCATGAATACTGGAGTCTAAAGAAAGGGTCTGAACTAAACATTGAATTTGTGGTCCTGGAAGAATCTGGGGATGAGATAAATTAGAGTGATGATAAAGCAAATGAACAACGTTCTTGGTTTCATTTCTTAAGCCATCATGTTAAGGTAGCATGGGACTGGCCCCATGGTCTAGAGTTTTAGGGAAGCAGATCCCACATGGCCAGCCTCAGTTCAAATCCTGGCACTGGTGGCTTGTAAAGCATGCCAGGAATGTGGCATCCATGCTCAGGATTCCAGTGGGGTGGAGACGTGGCGCCTGGCGTGCCTTGGGGTGCTCTCTCTTGCCCTCTCGGGTCTCTCTCCGGCGCTGCACCTGGCAGAGAGACCGTGGCATTGACTGCAACTCCTTAAGAGGTCAGTCTCTCCGCCTCCTGCCCCAGCACACCACAGCGGACATCGTACTTCTTGGGGGAGATGAGTGAAATAAAAATGATTATGAACTTGCTGCCCCTGTGTCTTCAACCACTTTCCTTGCTCTCGTCACTTACAGAAGAGTACTCAATGAAGACTGAAGGAGGCGGGTTAGATGCACGTCAGGAAAAGGGCTCTCCTTGGCTACGGGCCTGCGGGCCTGCGGGCGTTCCCTCTCTGGGCTCAGGCTCCTAGTGCAGGAAGCACCTCTGAGGCAACTGAATTAGCTCCAGTCAGCAATGTCTGAACTGACCACCTGCCCTGTGGCCTGTGCCTTCAGAAGTCATTGGCTCTGCAGGACGGGTCAAGTGTGCAAAGACATCATCTCAGAGCCCCGAGGACCCTTCACCCCGTTTACTAATTATGTTCCACACGACAGACTGTGGTCTCGGCTGGCAAGCCCGAGGCCTTCCCAGGAGCCGGAAGATCTGCAAGAACTCAGACTGCCAACTTCCTGCTGGCCGCCGTGCCCCTTTTTGTCCTGTCCCCTTCCCCAGCG